GCATAGTGATTACTTGTGTGGTTGTGTTTCATTAATTGTTTTGTGGCTTTAAATAATTTATAGTTTGTGTTCCAGGATTCCTTAAAGCGTCAACAAACAATTTACCATGTGGGCATATTTTTCTGCTTACCGAACTTTAAAAAAGCGACGAACGCTTTAATTCAGCCGAATTTAAGGGTGTCAAAGCAGCAGGGTAAGTAAAAATCCGTAAATTCATTATTAGTTGCTCTCTCCTTAATATACTAATCTGTCAGTATTGGTTTAAATTAGTTAAATAATACATAGAATTTCACTTATTCAACTTAACCTAACCTATACACATGGCTGCTTTAAAAGTAACATTAACTCTTAAATTCATATTTTGGGCATCAAGAGTTTGTTTGGAGCACTTATTGAGGTATTTTTGCATCCTGGCACAAAACACCACTTATTTTGTGATCCATACATGTCGCTAGTTTCCATTATGCAAGATAATAATAATAATCAGTACAATAATGATAATCACAATAACTTAAATAATAAAACAAAGCTGCTAGCACAACAAAATAAACACGAGACACTTTGTTGATATGACTTGCTACGTCATAATCGGGACAGGCAAGCGACGCTATAGACCGATATCTGAAATGAATTTAAACTCGCTTTAAAATTATTATGGACTTTTTTGCAAAAAAAATTCTATCAGTGTAATGTTTGCCATTACGACTTTCCATACATCAACATTTAAAAAAAGTGAAAACGCCTTTTTTACTTTTAAAGTTGAGCAGGAATTTGCCAAGATCCATGAGTGCGAAAAATTGATATAAACATGTCGAGGCCAGCTCTGGATTTTCCGATCCCATTCTAACGTGCACAAAGGTGTATATATTGTGCAAAATATTATTTACCTTGCAAACAAAAGACAAGCTGACTCCGCCCCGTTTAGGCCACTGACTAATGATAACATCGGGGTAGGGAGGCTCCGCCTCCAACCCCTGAAGGTAGGGAGATCGCGGGGTGCTAACTGAACACGATTTCCTGTATTCCCGTTTAGTTTGCAGGGATGCGTGTCGACACAGGTTTATTCTGGATGGGTATGGATCAGACCGAAAAGCAGTCGCTTGAGGGTAGACAATTTTTTATTGATTCGATAAATCGAAGATAAAATTAAAACTTTCCAGTCTTTGAAATTGATCGAAGTTAATGTTGACACTTGTGCAATGCTCCCAGCAGACTACGATTATTTAATTAACCTTTTCTCTTTTGCGCTTTAACCAGCTTACATTTGGTGACTCCAGATCATTTTTGAATAGTGAATTAGTTGATTCTTCTACACAACTCTTACATGGTTTTTTGCCTTTGCATGTCGCAAAGTACTCAAAATCTTACATAAGCTGACACGTAAATTCAAGAAAGTTTGATGATAATGACGAGAAATATTTTTATTGCAAATTTATGTTCGATTTCGACAGGGAAATAAAATAAATTGTATTTATTGTATCGTTAAAGCGCCGCGTTTTAACAATCAAAATCAATATTATCGTGAAATGCGTGCGGAAGATCGTAAATTTAATGGCACCCTTTTTATCGATGCCCGATTAATGGCACTGAATCAATATTGTTTCAACGGGTTAACCGTGACTGGACAAAGTGTGTTTTTGCGGAAGAAAAACCTCAATTTTCAGCGAAATATTCTGCAAACTGTTAAGTTGAGTTTATTGTTTTGAGTCCAAAAATCAGCTTTCCCTCCCAAGTCTCAATTATACGTTAGCAAAGACGCAAATCACTTTTATACATTATTTTTCTATTCCAAATAAATCGCCTTATCGTATTTATGGGCCTAATTGGGTGTATTAGAACAATTTACACATAGGAACCGATCAAATAATTTAACGATTACTTAGCTAAACCTCAGTGGTTCATTTTGTTATTACGCTGGGGAATTAAGTAATAAAAACATTGCGATAAGGAGTTATTTATTATTTCCATTAAAATATATTCGGTTTATGGAGCCGTTGGGTACAAAGAATGCGCCCCTGAATGGCGTTGCCGGCGGAATTTCGCATGATTCTTATTTAACTATTCCGGGCCTCCACCACTGTGTGGGGAGATAAAGGGAATCAGTGTGAGATCGTAAAGAGATCTACACAAGTGGTGTAAACGGCACCAAGCCGAGAACAAATAGCGGACTCAATAGAAATGATTTGATTCAACCCTCGAGGATTAGCCTTTGTTCCCGGATCTCTTCCTTCTACGTCGTCGAACCTTTTCGCCCGGAAAATAGACAATAGAGTGTTTTCACTTTTCTTTAATGTTGATATATAGAAAGTAGTTATGGCAAACATGACACTGATATAATTTTTTTGCCCAAAAAGTCTCCATAATAATGTTAAAGCGAATTTAAATTCAAATCAGATAGTTTCCACCAAAAACGCCGAATCCGTATCGTCGGTTGCCTATCCCGATTGTGACGTAGCAAGTCATATCAACAAAGTGTCTCGTGTTTATTTTGTTGTTTTCGCAGCTTTGTTCTATTATTTCAGTTATTGTGATTATCATTATTTGATTGAATATTATTATTATCTTGCATAATGGAAAATAGTGACAAAAACCAAGAAAACTATGAACCTCAGCATTGCGTTGCATCCCGATCTGCAGCCTAATTCGCTTTCTACATAATTACCAATTAGGATCTTAGATCACATTTCACAGCCAACTAGTTGCAAATGGGGTGCTTTGTCAGCATCGTATTGGAGGCAGAACAGGAAGGGCTTCAAACGCTTTCGACTCAAATCCCCAATAGAAAAATTTCGCCCAAAATCCCTCCAGATTTCCCTTATTCTTCACGCTCACTCACTGGTTTCACCGACTCAATTTGCTCCAAGAGAGTGATTTTTCAGCCATAATTGTGCTTATTTTTTGGGAATTTCGCGATTCCGGCCCTGTGTTGCGATGCACACAACCCTAAATTGACGACACCGATCTGCCTGAAAATTAAATAAAAGAGGAACTATTTACGTCGTCGCATCGGAGTGACATAAAAGCATTTACCACCCCTGCTGACTGGCTTCCACTCGGGTCTAGTCAATTTTGTATGGGAGATTTGAGGTCTCCGGCTTTCGGTTCCGGATTCACAAATTTGACCATCGGCGTCCCATTAAACCGCCACATTTTCCCGAAATTTTACCGACAAAAACTTGTTTTGCACGCAAGTTTTAAACCTAATAAATCGAATTAAATTTAGCTCAGCAGAATGCAACTAATGGGTTTTAGGGCGACGTAAAATGGAATTTCTTCCTGACGTTTCGCAAGCACGAGTGGCTTGCATCTTCAGAAGTGGTTTGCTTGAACGCTTACACTGTTCTCATCAGAA